ACTCGTCGACTAAGTGGCTCGTGGGAATTTCTCGTGGAGTTATGGACATACAACTCAGACTCAAAACCAATTAGGGGAAAAACACACACAAGAAAAAAAAACTAACTCACAATCTACTCAAGCCCTTAACTAGATATTTTAAAAAAAACTTCTAAAACATATAAAGAGAACATCATATATTAAAAATTTATGCCAAAATTCCACTTAAGCATAGCAAACCAATTTTGGGAAATTTGACAATATAAACACGTTTTCAAGTTCATACGGAAACGAAAGAGTTTTACTTTGAAAACTGAATACATGATACACATCCATGTAACATAAAAACTTCACCAAATCTCAGCCCTTGCACATAAACATGGGATTTCAAACAATTATAACAAAATCGCAGCAAATAACACCTATAAATTAAAGGCTGACCTGCAGGGGGAATTAAATCCTGAAATTTTAATGGCATAAACTACAACACATAAGGCCTGTCACATAAAAATTTCAGCTTAAAATACTAAACACATGCTTTTACAAAAATGTTACAAGTTTCAACGAAAACCAAGCATTTATTATAAATCTAACTTGACGAATGAATCTGAACCTAGAATGTTTACACCATAGCCTTCATGATGAATATAGAAACATATTAAAATTTCAGATCAAAACACAAAGGCTACAATTTATAATGTTTTAATCAATTTTCAGCTCCTAAAGCATCATCGAAAATTCCAAAGGCACATCAAACAACTCCAATTGATCTTAGGCCTTCAAACAGGTCCTAAAAAAACACATCAATGTCCCAATTCCAATAAGAAATTCACAAAGAGTGTCGAGATCTTTGAGTTTCCATCCCAAACTCGAGAGATCTCAAATGAACTCGAACGAATACGCACAAAACACCAATATAAATCACATAACATCTTATTTATCAATCAAGCATAAAATATATCAAAGGGACCCTCTCATATATAAACGTAACACACATAAAATAGGGTGTTCATGCCATCATGTACCGTTCTCGGGAAAAAAGATACAAAACGGACGAAAGAGGGCTGAA